CTCTGTTGGGGGGGGGGGGGGGTGCAGGTGTGTGTGTGTCTGTGTGAGAGAGAGAGAGAGAGAGAGAGAGAGAGAAATGCATGTATTATAGCATTAACCTATAAGCTTTTAGTTATTGGATAATTGGTTAATTGACTACACTATTACATCCCTAGTCTAGGCAGGGCAAAACCAGGATAAAGGTGCAGGAAAGCAGGGCGTTCCTGACCAACATCAGGAAAGGAAATGGAGCTGGGCCACCAGAGCTTAGAGGGGCAAAAGGAGAGAGGGAAGGAGAGATTGCAGGGGACAAGGCATTTGGTCCCCAGAGGGAAGAAGGCCTGGTCCAAGCAGGAGTAAGGCTATTCTGAGGCTGCCTTCCCCCCAGCACAGTGTGTCTCTTGTGGAGTGGACTGCTGGGTGTGGGGGTTGGATGTCGGAGACTTTGGGAAGACCCATAGATGAGTCAAGTCCCCTTGTGGGCTAACTGATGTCCAAGGTTTGCTGCTGTTTTACTGCACCGCTATAAAGCAGCAAGTGGGGGACATGGAAATAAAACGGTCTGTGAAATCGACCTGGGTCACTCCCCTTCGAAGAAGCTTTTGGGGGAGGCAGGTTTTTTAATTGTATGGGGTGCCTTTAAGAAAGTGAATTAGAGGCTGTCCCACGGAGAGTGAAATTGACCCGCTTAGTCTCTTGCTTACAGGCGTAGGTGCCTCCTTCCTGCATGGCCAGCGTGGTGCACTGCAGTGCTACTTCTCCTGGGGCAGTTGAGACGCTGGAGCTGGAACACCAGCAGAAAATGAAATCTTGGCCCCTCTGGATCTGGGATCCTACCTTTGTTCTCCTGGCAGCCTGCGCAGACAGCACTGTGAGGAGAGGAAGGGCTGTCTCTCTCCCCACACACAGCTGTTCTCTCTTCAGCAGCTGTGGGCAGGGACACTGTCTTGCTGTGCTGCGGGATTGCGTAAGGGAGTAGAGAATGGGAGGCAGAGCGTGGAGATTTGATACTGGCGTAGCATTCACTTCTAGGTTGTCCAGGTTGGACCTCCCTGGTTTGGCACCCTCGGAACCTCGCTGGTCCTGAATGAGGGAATTTGCCGGATTAGGGGAGGTCCTCTGCCCCAGGGCTTCAGGATACATCCTATGGCTGGCTGCACTCTAGCCCCACTGCTACTGGGCTGCAGCCCTGCTGCAGGACTTGGGGTTGGGTTGCTGATGCCAGCCAGCTGGGGCTCTTCGGGACGGAGCTCCCCAGCCACCACAGCCCCACTTCTGGCCCACCTGGCTGAGGCTTCTTGGGGATGGGACTCCGCCGCTGCTGCGCTCAGCTGGGGACGGGGCTCACTGGCTGCTGGGGGCCCTGCTGCTGCCACATCCCGCCAGGGCTCGCCTGTGACTCGGCTCTGCAGCTGCCCTGCTTCTGCCGTGCCAGGAGGGGGCTTCGCAGGAATGGGGCTTGCCGGTCCCATTGTTGCCCTGCCTGGCTGGGGAGCTCCAGTGCTGGGGCTCACCAGTCTGATGGTGGGTCTCCCTTCTGCTGGATTGCCAGAGTGGTTCACATTCCTGGCTGCCGGGGCTCTCTGGTCCAGCCACGTCCATGATCCTGCTGGACCACGGATGTTGCCGGACAGTCCTGAATGTAAGAGGTTCCACCTGCAGTGTAAGGCTTTGCCTGCACTTAAAAGCTCAAAGCGCAGCTGTAGCACCACTTTAAACTGTCAGTGTGGCCATGGCATGAGCGTGGGAAGAAAGCTCTCCCAGTGCTTTGTGTAAAGCACTTCCAAAGAGTGCTGGAAACACGGCTCCCAGCACATAGTCGGGTTCACACGGGCACTTTACAGCACTGGGAACATGTGTTTTCACACCCCTGATCCAGAAAGTTAGTGCTGTAAAGTGCCAGGGTAGACTTAGCCTCAGTACTAACTAGAAGTCGATGCCCTGTTATCTGCTATTCGTAGGGCCCTATCAAATTCCTGGTCCCTTTTGGTCAGTGTCACAGACCTAAGGTTTTATAAACGATACGTTTCGTGATTTCAGCTACTTAAACCTAAAATTTCACAGTGTTGTATTTGTAGGAGTCCTGACCCATGAGGCAGTTGTGGGGAGGTGGCAAGTTTATTGTGTATGTGTTGTGGGCGGGGCGGTACTGTTACCCTTATTTTTGTGCTGCTGCGGGGGTCGGGAGGGGGTGGCGGCGCTGCCTTCAGAGCTGGGCAGCTGGAGAGCAGTGGCTGCTGGCTGGGAGCCAGCAGCGGTGCAGAAGCAAGGATGGCCTGGTGAGTATTGCCACCTGCATTTCTATGCATCTGCTTGCGAAGCTGGGGCCTCAGTCAGCAGCCGACACAGTCAGGCCACCCAGCTCCAAAGGCAGCACAGAAGTACGAGGGGCAATACCCCAGCCCTTCTAACATAGGTTAGGACCCCCAATCTGAGGAACACTGGTGTCCCCTATGATGTCTGTTTAGCATAGGTAAGGCCCTACAAATTTCACAGCTGTGAAAAATGTGTCTCAGACCATGAAATAAGTCCTTCCCCGGGAAATCGGATGTCTTCCTGTGCCTAGGAGTGCCCCATCCAAGGGGGCTTCTTAGCTCCTACTAGGCAGTAGAGGGACAGGACTTGCTCATCTCCTGCATAGCTGCTGGGGGTGAGGAGAGACCAGGCAGATCCGCCTCTGCTGCCTCTCTCTGCTGCAGGATGCTCTGTTCCTGGGGGAAAGGGGTGCAGCGCCTTCTGCAGCCGTGAAGAGAGAGAACAAGTGTTGCCCCTCCCAAGCAGGCCAGGACTAGCAGTGAGGAGCCCAGGGAAAATCAGACCCACCACCCCGTCTTGGAACCCCCCGTGGCTGCAGGAAACTGTGGTTGCAGCCTTCAGAATCCAGCACAGAAGTGAGGATGGCAATCCCATGACCCCTCCACAGCCGGTTTGTGACCCTTCCCCCTCTCGCCACGATCTCCTTTTGGCGTGTGACCCACCAGCTATGATACTGTGAAATTTTAGTTTTTAAACTGCCGAAGATGTGAAATTTACCGATTTTTCAAACCTAGTATCGCGTAAAAGCACACATGAGCCTAGATGCCATGGTCCTGGGAGTGTTTTCCATGGCTGTGAATTTGGTAGGGCCCTCCCTGTGTGAAATGCGTCTCGTGTTCTCTCTCTGCGCTTGAGCCAAAGCATTTTGAAGTCCGTGAAAAGCCTTCAGTGGTTTTGAGTCTGTAACTCGTCATCCAGGCTCCTCCTTGGTGCTTCGGTCGCTCTCACAAACCCAACTAAAATGTGTGCCTGGCCCTTTGCAAGCCTGCTCATATGCCTTCATAACGGGTGGCGGCCACAGCTTGATGCTCATCTTGGCCTTTCTCCCAGATTCCACAATCACTAAGATAAACAGTCCCCAGCTGAAATAACATTTACCGAGACTTCACCTCTGCACATCCTGGACTCTGTAGCCAGAGGGGAGCGGACAGCTTGTCCAGTAGACACATTCACTGACCTGGCCAGCGTTTTTTACCCAATAGATGAATAGCTGTCTTCTAGATGCCAGGAAATGCATCAGAGCCAGCACGATTCTTTCTATTGCACTAGATGGCTTAGGACAAGGGTGGGGAAACTTTCTTTGTGTCGGGGGCAGCTGACCCACAGAAAAATCAGTCGGGGGCCACTTACAAGTGAGAAACAAAAAAGAAAAACCAAATCCTCACGGATGAGACTTTCCCCCATATTCCCCTTGCACACCAGAGCCTATGGGGGCCAGGCTAGGAGATCTTGTATGCTGCAGCCCCATGGTGGGACAGTGCAAGGAGCTGGAATGCAAGGTGGGCTCTGCAGTGCTGGGGAAACCCCAAGCCTGGGGGCTGAATCCAGGCAAGCCAGGGGTGGGTTGCGGCTCCTGGGTCTTATGTTCCCCACTCCTGACTTAGGAGATGAACAGAACAAAAAGCAGAGGAGTACAATTATGCCCCCTAAAGGCCTGGAGCATTACTTACAGTGGATGATCTCAGTGCTACATTGGGATGACCAGAGCAAAGAACTGTTCTGATGTCAAGGATTAGAACCTGTTAAAAGCTGCCTCCGATGCTGATACAAGCTCTCGATGGTTTTATTTTTCAGGGTGGTGAAGGAAGAGATCTCGGATGACAATGCAAAGCTACCATGCTTCAACGGAAGAGTGGTGTCCTGGGTAGGTTGGTCTGCATGTCTGTGTACATGTGCTGCGCGGTGGCTCGGATCTAGATCAGCTTGGATATGTGCACAGCTGGAAAGCACTGGCCACATGCCAGCAAACCAAATCAGGCTATCACGGTGCAGGAATGTTCGTCTCTTCCCTGCCAAGACTCTCTAGTTGTTCGAGGCACTGTCTCAAAGTCTGCTTTTTAAGAACGTATGTGCCTTTGCAAGAGTGTGGTCATCTGTGAAGAGCAACAAAAATGATTAAAGGTCTAGAGAACATGACCAATGAGGGAAGACTGAATGAATGGGGGTTGTTTAGTTCGGAAAAGAGACGACTGATAGCAGTTATCAAGTACCCAAAAGGGTGTTACAAGGAGGAGGGAGAAAAATTATTCTCCTTAATCTCTGAGGATAGGACAAGAAGCAATGGGCATAAACTGCAACAAGGGAGGTTTAGGTTTGACATTAGGAAAATTTTCCTAAGTGTCAGGGTGGAAAAAACTGGAATAAATTGCCTAGGGAGGTTGTGGAATCTCCATCATTGGAGATATTTAAGAGCAGTTTAGACAAACACCTGTCAGGGGCAGTCTTCATGGTGCTTGGTCCTGTCGTGAGGGCAGCGGACTGGACCTGATGACCCCTCGAGGTCCCTTCTAGTTCTCGTATTCTAAGATTCTATGATTCATGTGGGAATAGCTTCACTTACATGAGTGATCACACAGCCACCAGTGGGGCTGTTTGCATGAATAGGGTTACCCATAACTTTGTGGAATTGGGCCCAGGCTAAGTCAGTAGAATTGAGTATAATTGTTTCTTTAGGCCACAATTTTCAAAAACAAGATGTGGAGGTGGCAGTTCAATTAGTGGCCTCATTTTCAAAAGTGCCAGGCACGAAGGAATTGTCTAAACTCCAAATATATTCTGCATTGCAAAAATCAGGCTGTTTGTGATGTGTCTAAATATCCATGATTGAAAATGTTACCTTTTAAATTATAAGCTACTTGCTTGTCATTCTTATTTCCAGAAGCATCCAGATTGTCAGTGGCAAGACTTAATTCAATTTAGGAGGATCTCTGTGTTTTTGCATGTGACTACAAACTGGACAAATGCGTACTGATTAGGTTTTCAGTTGCTATTTCAGATTGATTTTTCTGCATTTTGGAGGGGAAGGGGGTGTTTCTAATTTGCAAGGACTTCAGTATTGTACCTTCGTCTCAAAACTCTGATCTTCAGATCCATTCCCCCCTCCTAATTCAGTTTGGAATGTTTTCAGCTCCACAAGTGTGGAAAGGGGAGAAGAAAACTACATTTTATTTTTGCTGCACTAGAACTTCAAAAAACGATCAAAGGGATTTTTTTAACACTTTATGTTCCATCCTCTAAAGCAGGGGTCCCCAGCACGGTGCCCGCAGGCCGCCCGCCCGCTGGGGTATTTATGTGCGCCTGCCTAGCACCACCCCCGGGAGTGCGGCGCATGTGCGGCCCCATCCACGGGCAGCCTGGCAGCCCCGCGCAGCGCCCGCCACCCAAAAAGTTAGGGGACCACTGCTCTAAAGAAAGCATCTGAGAGAATGTGCATTCCAGAGCTATGGAGTAAATACTGTCTAATTCATAGAAGGGAAAGTGTGAAGTGTAGTGAGAAATGTGCTGGCGCATAACAAAAGAATAGGTGCATCTTTTTGACCATTGTACATGACTTATGATAGGTAGAGTTCTCTTGAGTAAGTCTGTCTGTCTGATTTTTGGAGGGGAGCAGTTTTAAACCTGCTTTGATAGCTATTGATCTAGAAGAAGCTTTTTTTTTTTTCATTTAAATACATGTGTACTAGGGGATTTCCCTGGCATTTCTCAGGTCCATAACTGAAATAACTTTTGTTTTTCTTCATTTAAATCATTGCTCTGGAGTGGGACTGGGGAGGAAGGTTTCACTATGTAGGCTGCCCCGGGGAGAAGACAACCTCAGCAGCTTGGGGCCAGGTGAGAAGTGTCTGTCTATATCTGCTGTAGCTACAGCGTGTACAGCCAGAAAAGGGATGGCAGCTGGGGGATGGACAGATGCACAGATAGGCAGACACACAAGCAGACAAACTCTCTCAAGTATATAGCACATAGCTGTCCATTTCTTCCCCCTCTCCGCCTTGCTGTCCCAATGGGATTATAGCTGTTCCAGTCATCATCTCTGGCACTTTGCTGCCCCCTGTGGTCATTATAAAGTATAACTGTTCCTGCTAGCAGACCTCTCCCTTATTATTTTATGAGAAACAGTTCCATTCCAGGCACATCCCATTGTCCAGGCACAACCAAACCCTGACCTTGCTTTACGTTATGATAAGAGGAAGCTGCATACCAAATTCAGTGGTCCTAGCTCTTAGTGTTTCTTGAACAAACAGACTCAGACACAGACACACAAACTCTCTCAAATGTAGAGTCATGCCTGGAGGCATCAGACAAGATTTGGGCCGCATTGTACTAAGCACAGTGCGTACACACAATGGGAGATTTTGTCTCTTATCATCTTAATAGACAGTCAGGCAAAGGGTAGGAGGGGAAAGAGGCGGGGGGAGAGGGGGCGTGACGTGACTTTCCCAGAGATATAGAGCAGATGAGTGGCGGAGTTGGAAATAAAGCTCAGATCTTCTGAGTGCCAACCTAGTTCCCCATCCCCCAATCCACACATCTCTCATATTCTTGTTTCTCTTAATCAGTGTGATACAAAGGCCCTTTTGTAGCTGTCTAATTGTAGCTATGACTTACAATCTGCTGCGTGTTATATCTATCTGCAGCCCTCCAGGATGCTTTCCATCCTGTGCACGGGTGACTGGCTCTCAGGGCGGCACTGAGCAGTGAGAAGCCAGGCTGAGAGAGACTCTCATTGCATAGCTGGTTTGTCCGGCCCTGTACCCAGCTCTGCCAATGGATTGTGGTTGGCTTGGCAGCAATACAGAACCAATTTTCCCTGAGGCTTACCATGCAAGATACCCTCCTGCCCGGCTGGGAAACGGCTTGGCGGTTTAGAGGCCGGAACTGTGCCATGTTTTTGTTTGTCAGACCATTTTAGGAAGCTGTCGCTGTGATTCGCTGTAAGTTTGTAACTCTCAGGGGACAGCTGACAGTGACGTGCCTTTCACTGCCAGGGAGGGGCTCTTCTGAGCCTTAAGTTCTGGGGGCTTTTCCTTTTTATGGCAAAAAGGCTCTAACAAGCCAATGCCTGTTTACGGTCCTCTTTGAGACTATTCAGCCTCTGTGAGAGGCCAGATAACCTCCTGTTGGTACCGAGCTGAAGATGAGAATGCTAATGAATGCATAAGAGTCTGCCTGTAATTTAATACTGATTGCATAACAAGGAGCAGTTGTCCCAAGCCCCTCAATACCGAAATCTGGAAGGGGTGGGGGGTACCATTCGCCCCTGCACACCCAAACAACACAAGCTCTGTGCAAGACTCCAAAGAAGGGCTTACGTTGGACTTGTGTGACGTCCGTTTGTCCCTCTGCCCCATTCTGAGCGTCTAAATACAAGGCACAAACAAACGTGCTGTTCAGATCTTGGCTGTGACCGGTGTGTCTGACAGGAATTGCCAAGGATTCACTACGGTTTGGACCTCCCTGGTCCAGCACCCTGGGAACCTGACTGGTCCCAAATGAGGGGATTTGCTGGACCGGGGGAGGTCTCTTCCCTCATGACCTGTGCTGCCCCCAGGCTAGGGCTCCAGCTCAGCCCCACTGCTCCCCCAGTCTCCTGGGGCTCTCCAGCTACTGCTGGGAACGGAGCACCTAGGCCAGAGCTCTGCAGCCAGAGCCAGGACCGGAGTTCCCTCACTGCCACTGGGGATGGAGCTCCCCGGCCACTAGGGCCACAATGGGGCCAAGGCCGGAGCTCCTTGACTGCTACCCTGGCTGTCGCCTGGGGCTGGAGCTCCTTAGCCCCTGGGGCCAGAACTCCCCACCACTTCCATCTGCACCCCCCCCCTCAGCACGAGTCTCCCGGCTGAGTCAGCCCCTCCCTCGTCCTCATGCTCCTGTCCCACTGCCAGACCTCCCTGTTCCTGGGCTCTGTGGCCCTGGCTATGGCTATGGCTATTGCTGGACCAGAGAGGCCTGATGTAGGGAAGTACAACCTGTACCAAGCGTGCTCCGTGACATTTGTTACTCCAATCTGTGGGGCTGGTAGGTAGCCAGTGTCTCCAGGACTGCCCAGAGCCAATAAGTAGTCAAACACATTGCTCTAGGGTTATTTTAATGAGGAGAATCCAAGCAGGCAGGTTCATCTGGACCCAGCAGTAATACCAAGGAGACTTATACTCCAGCCATTGCCGGCTGTCTGCCGTGAGCCATTCAGTGCAGCTGGCTGTGTGGGGATGGACTTTGAACCCTCTAGTGTACGGGTCAAAATCTCTATCTGGTGTAAATGACCCTAGCTCCGTTGCTTTCAGCTGAGCTCTGCTGAATTTTATAGCAGTAGAGGATCCGGCCTCCACTTATATTTCTCCTGCCCCAAAGAGAGCACCGGGGCCTAACGTATTTCAGGACCTTAGTTGTCTCGCCAGAAACGCCACTGAGGAAACCTGTCTCTGCATCGTTCACAACCTCCCTGGGCTGCTCAGAGAGAGGCTGGGCCTGTTGGCGCGAAGACGTGGCTGTAACAGTCAAAGGAGCCCCAGGTGGCATGGCGTAACCTGCAGTGGAAGGCCCGGGGGCTGTCTGTAGTGGAAGGAACGTGCCATGTGTTTTTGAAATGTCCGCTCATTTGCGGGAGGGGGGAGCGTTGTTGATGAAATACTGGTGCGTCCGCGTCAGCCAATACCGGACGTAATGCCTGACTGAGAGAAAGCGGCTACTCATGTTCGTTTTGAGCTTGGGACGGCTCCTGTGTGCGGCTGATTGAGTTTCGCAGTTCTCGTTTGCAAGAGCAGGATTGGGCCTGTCGACGAGTTTGTCGTAGCTCTGGTCCACAGTGTCCTGTTTTAAAAGGGACACCTTTTAAACGGTTCGGTCGCTGTAATCCTACAGTCC